TGGTACCACCAATCTTGCTCCTAACGTGAGCAAGATGAAGTTAGATAAAAAATACACAGAAGAGGGGTTGAATGTGTGTGAACGAAGGATTTTAAAAACGTTTTCATAGAGGTGCTACTTTCCGTTAGGAAATAATATTTCAAGTGTAAGATTGGTAAAGAGAAACTTGCGTCCGAAGATTTATCGTCTGTTCGAAAATGGTTTCCTTTATCAAACAAATATAACTTCGTGTAAATATTGTTTAGAGAATGGGTAGTATTGGATGAAGTTTTTCAATGTGATAAATCAATATAAGTAAAATTGCGTTTCTAAATTAAATAACAATGAACAAAGTTTTTATATTGGTTCACTCGTTCTAAGCTACATCCAGTCTCCTTCAACTGAAGGGTTCCACTAATCACAACGGATTATAAGTATTCTTAACCACTTCTGGTTTGTCAACTTCACTTGTTGACGCTAATATTCTTAAACCACTTTTGGTTACCCGAGTATTCTCAACCACTCTTGGTTTGTCAACTTCACTTGCTGACGCTAGTATTCTTAAACCACTTTTGGTTACCCGAGTATTCTCAACCACTCCTGATTCGTCAACTTCACTTGCTGACGCTAGTATTCTTAAACCACTTATGGTTCTCCAAGTATTCTTTTGCTAGCCTCTTTAAGCTTTACAGATGATAGATGTTTTGAGTATGTATGTGAGTCTCACATAGAGGATAAGATGGTTTCTACACTCACTGAGGTATTCAACCTTAGTTTTACAAGAATGTGTTTAAAGTGTGTATGTAACTCTCACAGAGAGGATAAAATAGTTTCTACACTCACTAATATAAACTATCTTAGTTTTACACGGATATTCAACTTTGAACAAGAAGAGAGATTGATTTGATGCTTGTTTTTGCTTATTGCTTGTTGCTTCTCTCCTCTTTTCTTTTCTTCTCAGATCTTGTTATTTATAGCCTTGTGATAAATCTGCCCGTTGTTTGAATTTGAATGTGTCCGTTGAGGCGGAGCTTTCCGTTGGTGCAGATAAACGTTCGTTCATGGCTGCACGTATCTTTTTCATTTAATGCATTTGATTTTGCATTAAATGCTTTGCTTGCTAAATCTGTTATGTGAAGTCCTTTACATAATTTGTTCCCTTTTATTTCTGACTTCAATCATGGCTTAGGTATGTTTGTCCTTTTTCTGTCATTGTAGTTGCGGAAGTGTTGTCTTTCTCTGAAAAGTAGGTGTACTTGTCCTGACATACGCAACCTTGACTTGTGAATTCGCGTTCTTTAATTTTTCTTCTTTCTCTTCATATCTTTGATAACTCCGTGTGCTTTTCTTATAAATGGAGATGATATAAGATCTTTTTCGTTTTGATTAGTGGACTTTAGACGCTTTTTCACCGTGTTTCGTCTGCGTTTGGAAATCTGAGTCTACGTCTAAGGGTTAGACTTTGACTTTGTCATCTCGTTTGATCAGTCTTGAAGGTGAACGACTTTTTATTTCGTCTGGAATGTTTCTGCGTCTTGTGTTATGTGGTTGACCATTGAGCTTCGTCTGATGTTTATTTGGTGTTGAGCCAACTTTGTCCTGGTCTTGTTTTGCTCTTGTTTCTGATTTCTTATATTGCGCTCTGGATTGTTCTTGACATATCTTCGTTTGATATTTATTGTCGTCTAGTGCGCAAGTCATGATCCTTATGTTATTTGACTTGATTTGTCCGATCTTTTTTTGCTTGACCCTGCTTCATCCTTTAGTTTTGTCTGTTCTTATATATATATTTGAAACACTACTATACAGGTTAGTAATAACAATATATATTATATTTGTCATATTCAAAATTCCGCTGAGAATTGCTTTGTCTGACTTAACACAAGACAAATAACCTTTGAATGAAACCATGTCTGGCGTCATGAAACCATGTTTGGCGTCATGAAAGCATGTCCAACACGAAGATGAGTTTTGCACTTGCAGACTCATGATTTTGGCTCAAACCACCTAAAAACTAGCAAATTCCAAGCATGCAATCCAATATATCACATATATTCATCATGCACATCTCATTTTTAACAACAAAATGAATATGCAACCAATATTGATCAACAATCATCTGAATCACCCTAACATGCTCAAGTGACCCAAAAACCCCACTATGGAAGAATTTGTCCTTCAAACCACCAATACAGCCAACAACTTAGATGCAATTGAACACATTCAACAACCAACTCAATCAATGTTCAAGTTCCAACTTTCCTTACCTTGAAGTCGAAAAGAAACAATAAAAAGGAAAAAGAACAAGTTTTGAGCTTCGAGAAGCTCTACACAACACAACAATCTTGATTCACGATTCTATTGACTTTAATTAATAAATACAACCCAATCAAAACTTCAAAGAAAGAGTCACCTTCTCAAGAGAAGGTTCAGAGAAAAAGAGAAACTCATAGACTCTATAACACTTTTCTCTAGCTTATATTTCTAAGATTTTTAATAACTGAATTTATGAAACTTAATTTTTAAAGAAAACTTTATATACTTTTGACTCACGGTCAAATCTTATCTCTATCCTCTAAAACTCCTAAATACTCCTTAAGAGTTTCCTTAACTCTTAGAGTCTTTTAAAATCACATCTCAAAACACCATAACACATAAAATATTGCTAAAAGGCAATAATTAATGAAAAGCTGACAGTGTTATATAATAGTTATAAAAATTACACTAATATAATTTGATTTCTTTCCATATATATATATATCATAAAAAATATAATATAAATTAATTAAAATCCACAATAAATATTTTTAAAATATGACTACTACAAATAAAAATATTAATATGACAATTTAGGATTATATAAAAATGTAAAAAATGATTTGTTTTATTTCCACCAAAAGAGTTCATGTAATGATAGATGATTTTTTTTAACAAATTAGTTATCTGGAAAACTAGTTTGAATTGGAAGATATGAGTATAGGCATTCTTTTATTTTCTTGCAATTTATTTCATAATATATGTTTTTCCATAAAATTTATCATCACTTTAAAATGAGTTTTTATTTATTTATTATTATTTACAAATTATACGTATGATATTAATATTGATATATGATTGCTTGCTCTTCTTGTCTTAGGTGAAGACATGATTTCATGTCTTCACTTTTAAACAGAATCATTTAACTTTTTCAAAAGAATTTTTTTTTTTTTTTTACACTCTAGTTTCTTGTTTAATTTCATGATTTTGTCGTATCCTCAGACAGATTCGGTTAAAAGTGGCCTACAATTCAATCTACTTCACTTACTCTCTCCTCTCATTTGCCCAATTATTTTATAGATTTGTATAAAGGGTATGCATAAACAAATTATGAAGTTATTATAATTATAATTATAATTATTAATTGTTATTACATTTTATCTTTTTAAAGTATTTGGTTCAATAGAAGTAAACATGGAGAGAAGAGAAAGAAAAGATTTGAAAGGGCAATTTATAATTTTTAAAGTATCTTTATCCTTCCATTTTTTTTTCTCGACATTAGAGAGATTTGAAAAGCAAAAAAAAGGGCAATTTATAATTTTTGTACTATATCAATTAAATTGTTCCATTAGTTTATTTTTCTTTGACCTTTTTTTATACTATTTATGAGGATATAATTGCATATTATATTACTACTAATCTTTTAAGATGAATTCTTAATTTACTATTTTATAATGCTTTGCATTTATTTCCTTATTTAGAAATGAGAATGATCTTTTTAAGAAAAAAGAGAAAATAGAGAAACTAGAGAGATTAGAAAGAACTAAAGTTATTATGGACTTATATATAGTAAAGAGAATATATTTTCTTATATTCCGAAGGGTTTTTTGTTTTTAAGATTGAGGAAAAAAAGAGAGATCTAGTACCTTTTTTTAAAAAAATTATTTTTATTCAGCTACTATAGTTATATACATTTAAGTTAAGTTGATGCACGTTATCAATTAAATGACACTCATTTAGTTTAATTTTATAGACATTTCTTTTGTTTTTGGTTAGAATTTTTTGTCAGAAAGAAATATTACAAGTATAAGTTCAAACCTGCGATTAGATATTTTTTGTTTGGTTCTTATATGAACCTTTTTTTGTTTTGTTTTAATAGTCTTTTTTTCTTAAATAAAATTTATTGGCAACTCCTTTTTTCATTAAATTGTTTTTAATATTTGGTTTGTTGCTCAATCAGGATTCCCAACCTTCATTTTCCTTCCTTTTTAGAACTAAACACGTTATTAATGTCACAATCAATCTCTACCATAATTAAATCATCATTCAAATCTGTACCAAAAAAAAAAATGTTGTACCAAAAACAATTATCATTCAAATTGAAAAAATAAAAAAAGGCAGAAAGACGAGTCAAGACAAGAATAAAGCTATTTTTTTTTTAACTGTAATAAAAATTTAAGGAAGACAAAGAAAATCAGGGCGACTTATAATTTTTATTTTTCCTCTCTTCTCCTGAAAAATCACTAAAATAATTATAATATTCAAATTTATTTATTTATTTATCTGTCTTTTACATAGAAAGTAAAATTATTTGACATAAGTAGATTTTTTACTTAATTAAAACAATTGAGATACCCGATCACTTAAATTTTTGACTATCAATTCTGACATGAATCATATTCATATAATATATATATGTTATAAAACTTATAAATAAAAATAACTCATACAGATTAAGTATAAAATATTAAATTTTTTATATGATTTTTGAAGCATAGAAAAATGCATACACTTGAAGTAAAAAATAATAAAAAATTTAGTATGATTATTTATTCTTACACTTAAGTTTAATTTTGCTATTTTGCCAAGAATCCAAAGTCGAAATGACTAGAGACAGAAAGTCAGCAGAGAAGAGCAGTTAGCTATCCATATATGGATGTGTGTGCATTTGCAGTGATGACTTTGATGCTGAAATTGAAAATGGTGACACCCCAAAAACACAAACATTTTTTTTTCCGTAGAATTTTACAACACAAACACAAACAAAAAAGCAAAAGCTCTTCGTATGGGCCCACACACTCTACCATACTGTCCCAACCCTCACGTATTCTTCTTCCTCTTCTGCCACACTACAACAACGTTGTAAAAGTTCTCTCTTTTCACTTTCTCTCAATCCCATAATACCCTTCTCTCTCTCTCTCTCTCTCTCTCTCTCTCTCTTTCTCTTCGCTTTTTTCTCTGTCTTTAATGGCTGCCCGCATCAAAATTCCGCGTTAAACAATCGTGGGTCGGTGCTAGTTTGCATTTTTCTTATCCTTTGGGTTGTCAAAAAGATACCCAATTGGAAAAGTCTTGTTTTTTTTTTTTTTTTTTTTTTTTTGGGGGGTTTTCATTTGGGGAGATTTTCTTTTTGGGGTAAGATTGCTACCAGTTTTAGCCCCTAACATTGTTGTGTGAGAATAGTGTTTTCCAAGGCATTTTTTTTCCTCTCTCTATATGTCTTGGTGAGACTTGAGTGATAGTCTTGGTGATGCATATTGGTTCTGCTTGATACTCCCTAATAAAATGGTATATTATTATTATTATTATTATTATTATTATTATTATTTTATTTATTATTTCTTCTGATAAATCAGTTATTTGATGCTGTTAATCACTTTAAACACTGATTTTATTTTTGCAGGCCACAACCACCATTAATCCCATTCAAGTTGAAGCGTGACAAAGAACCTCCGAACTCTAGGTAGTTCATGCTAGTAATAGAACTTGTTTTCAAATTGTTTCTCACTTTTGTTAGTTCATGAATAACAAAGATTCCTAGATTTTAGGAGTGAAATTTGCACGTATACTGTTAATTTAATATCCAAAACGATTGTTGATCTACTGTCTTGATGCCCTTTATCATCAGTATCTGTTTTTGTTAGTTGTTATTTACCGGTATTAGTATTGCAATTGTTAAATCCTGCTTGTAATCACTGTTAGTTTTTGCTTTGTCTTTACTTATTGTTTAGTTGTATAAATTTTAAATGTCACTATTTAATCTTAGGCTTGGGCCCCCAGACTATAACCTCCAAACACCAAATTGTCCTGAAGAGACTCTTACCAGAGAATATTTGCAATCTGGATTTAGGGACACAGTTGAGGGGCTTGAGGTACATTTTTTTTAAACTTCTGTATTTATTTCAAATGGATAATGTAAACTTGCAACTTAACTACGAATATTTGAGTTCTAGACATAGTTATTAGAATCTTACGATCACCAGTTTGAATCCTAAGATTTGATATGACGATAGGTATTATAAGATGAATCTCAACTTATGCTTTGTAAAACTGATTGTTTGTTGTTTTCATAACATGTATTACCTTTTTTGTCTTCAGGAATCCAGAGAAATTTCTCTGACCCAGTCTTTGTGAGAGATATATGCACTGTTGTTTCTATAACTATGAGTGTGTTTGGCATGTCAAATAAGCTAGTTTTAAGTTTATTCGACTAGCTTATAATGTTTGGCCAAATTAAGGTGTTTGATAAACAAGCCTATTTCACTTCCTTATAACAGTTTACTTTAACCATTTTTCTCTCTTTTCACCCAAACCACATAGTTGTAGCATGTTGAAATAGTAGGGTTTAGGTAAAAAGGATGGAAAAGAGAGAAGGAAAGCTAATATGATGCAGATTGATATTAAATGTTTAACAATACCATAGCCTAATGTTCATATTTATACTAATAAGTCAAGTAGTAGTTCAGCTAATTTAAGCTCAGGCCACTAACTAAAACTAATAACTTGGTATTATAACAGTTTTCATTAAGTTTTTACTAAATTTATATTTAGAAAGCATGAGGTTATGTTAATAAAAAAAAGCACGAGGTTATGAGTCATTTTGTATATTTTGGTGGACGGTTGTAGTTTAATCTAGCTAGAGCTAGAGGTAGTGTGCAAATATAAATTGATACAGAATATGTTTATATGCTAAATACTCCAGTACGGTCTGTAGCTATTCATGAATTTAGGAGAGCCATTGTTAAATGCATTCTATAAGAGACCGCATAGGCTTTTTGTCGTTTAGGCTGATATTACTGTTAAAAATCCTTTAATATTTTTTTAAAACTTACTTATTAGTGTGTATTGTCTTGGGATGCTTTCTACTTCCGTTCTCCATGATGATGTGTTGTTGTTGCTGCTAACTTTTTCGGGGAACTACTTGGATGTTCTTCTGTGCTTGTGTTGTTTAAGTGGTGGAAGAAGATAAATTGACGGTTGATTTCATTCATGATTCTGTTATGGAGAAATTATGGGGTTCTACTTGAGTTGGTGATTTGGATTTTGACAGTGTTGGGGCCAAGCTTTTGTGTGGGTGAAGCTTTTTTATGTGATTATTATCAAACTTTTCCATTACGTTTAATCATTCACCTTTCTTTTTCCTCTATTGGAAGAAAGGGGGATTCACTGAATAAGGCTGGCTGGGTGTCCTCAATTGGACTTTTTTTTTTTTTTTTTTTTTCCTTTGTGGGAAGATTGGACTGGAATTTTCAGCTTTTTTCTGTAGAACCTGTCATGGTTAGGGTCTGTGCACGAAGGAAAGAAGGCATTGATACCTTACCCTCCAAAGAAATCTTATATTGCTGTTGTGAGATTCACTCAATTGGAACTCCTATATGCTTTGTGAGTGGACTCACCAAGCTTCATCTTAGCCTTTTGCTTTGCTCCTTCAGCATGTTGAGTCAAAAAAAGCCTGAATTTTTTGTACTTACATGCCTGAAATTTTTTGTTTCTTGTGATATAATTTTTAGTTTTCCTTACATGCGTGAAATTGCTAACCACTCAATTAAGTTGCATCTTCTTCTGTTTCCCATGGAAACCAATAGTTTTGTGCTCCAAGGAGTTGATGATCAACTGTGACTTTTTTTTTTCTTTTCTTTTTTCCGGTGAATCTGGGCAACTAAGTTTAGTCATGGTGAATAATATCCCTGGGAATCGTATTTAATCTAGTTTATTGGCATTGTGAATCCATTTAGCCATCCTTATCTAGCGAGATAAGGCTTTTTGTTTTTGTTGTTGTGCGACTAAGTTTAAATCCTTTAATAATGTTAGAGGTTGATATGTTTCTTTTGCATGAGTTGATTTTAACAAACTTGTTAGCATGGAGAAGTTAGTTTGGCCTACATATATTTAGTGCACACTATTTTTCCCTTGTGAAGGTGTTTTGCTCTAACCATCCTTTAACCATGATTTTGAACAGCATTTGTTGACTTCATGTTTTTGTCCATCAATCAGGTTGTGAAAGATTGTACCTGTGAGGAATTTTGAACATAGGCAACATAAGGCCATTTTTTTACCTTATTAGCATCCTGAGAAACGGGAAAAGAAGAAAGAAGGAAGTCAACTGTGTCAATCATTATGGCAAAGAGGTCCCAAAGATTCCCTGTGAATTATGAGAAAGATCAATCAGGATGTATGTGGGGTTTTATTAGTATATTTGATTTTCGCCATGGCCGCTTTACTCGGAAGTTGATAGCAGATAAGAGGCATGGCAGCAAGTATGGTGTTGGTAAGAAATGTTTTTACATCTAAATTTGTACTTACAAAATTGACAGTTTTGCTTTTGTACATATATCTATATATCCATGGGAACTGGGAAGAGTGTCTAATACTAAATATAATTATAATTTTAAGAAAATGTGTTTATGCTGAATATAATTTGGAATGGGAAAAAATTGATAGACTTCTGTGCTATTTTATATATATCTTTTCTGGGGTCACATTTACTTTTAGAGCAATATTGCTGGGACTGATGTCTGCATATCAATCATCTTTTTACAATATCTTTTAGTAGAAATCTTTCATCATAATATGCTTTCCTTGCATATAGTGATTAATGACCCTGGAATATTTTGTGGTTCAACTGTGCCACATTTGTGAAAATGAACCGAAATTATCATTGAAATTCATTTTGTATCTGCAGGTGCTGCACTTACCAAGAACAAATTTGAAGTGTTGAGCGATTTGGATGAAGAATATCAAGACAACTTTGTAAGTCTGTCCATCCTTATACTTTTAGAAATCTTGGATTCCCCCCCTCTTTTTTTCAACCAAAAAATTGAAGTTTGATTACATTAAAATTGGGAAAATTGTGAAGTAACATTAGGTTATCTGCCATGTGCTAATAGCATGTCTTGTCTTTTGTTAACATTACTATATCATCTATGTTTTAGGAGAGAGGAGAGAGTAAGAGACTAGTACCGAAAACTGATGCTGATAAGTTTAGTGTGAAGAAACTCATAGAAGAAGAAATGATCATTGATCAGGATGAAATAAAAGATCAAGGTAATGCTGAAGTAGAATCAAAGCAATCCAGATTAGGGCGTGAAGACCCCCCAAAGACAGATTCCAAAAGAAAAAAGAAATCCCGCAAGAAAAGCCGCGATATGGACAACCATAATTTGACTTCTGATGCAACCTTGAAATCTGAAATTTCAAATAACCAGCATTCAAGGCAACCGTCAAAAGATAATCTAGATTTGGACAAAATAATGGATGATTTTTGTCATGTAGAAGCTGCTTGTTCCATGATGCATGACAATGATGGCAAAATTGATGCACAGTCTAACCAAAAGCATGCTATGTCTGAAAACCTTGCTAATGCAATCCATGAATTTGTGAATCAGATGATGATGAATGGGAAAGATCTGCCTGAAGATGGACAATTCCTTAGCTCACGTGAGCTAATGGAAGCACTTCAGGTTATAAGTTCAGATAAGCAATTGTTTCTCAGACTTCTACAAGACCCAAATTCACAGTTATTGAAATACATTCAGGAGTTGGAGAATGCTCAAGGGAGAGGTGACAAAGAATGCAGTTCAGTTACCGGCTCCAACTGTTCTGGACAAGAACTTGTTAATCTGAAACAAACTAGGGAGATTGCCAACCGCAAACATCGTAGCTTTTTCAGGAAAAGGGTGAAGTCTCAGGCAAAAGATCCAACAGATGAAGATGGGAAAACTGAGTTATCAAATAGAATTGTCATCCTGAAACCTGCACTGACAGGCGTGCAAGTTTCTGAAAGCGGAAACAACCTTGCCTCATTGCTAGATTCTCATGATATTGCCCAATACAAAGGTCCTTCTGTGAGAGTTGGTTCACATTTTTCTCTTACAGAGATAAAAAGGAAATTGAAACATGCTATGGGAAAGGAGAGGCATGGAAACCCTGGAGTGATCTCACAAAAGCTCCCTGTTGAATGTCAAAATAAGATGGCAAGAGGAAAATGTAAAGATAATGCTGGAATGAGATCTCCTAATAAAGACCATTTCTTCATTGAAAAAATTGCAAGGCCTATGTTTGATGTTGTGAAAGGAAACAAGACTGGTACATTGAAAGACTCTGAATTGAATGTGGAACATGAAAGTGGTACTCCCATGCAAAGAGTTTCTAACATATATATTGAGGCTAAGAAACATCTGTGTGAGATGCTAGATAGTGCTGATGAGAACACAAACATTTCAAGCAGGCAGATTCCTAAAACCCTTGGCAGAATACTATCTCTTCCTGAGTACAACTTTTCTCCTGTAGAAAGTCCTGGAAGGGATTTGGAGCATCATTTTGTGACTGCACAGGCAAGATTTTCTTCCTCTGACAAAACTAGGGAGGTTAGTGAGGATATTTTGTCCCCCAAACCAGCAACCTTTATTGGTCTTCCAGATCAGAAAACTAACATTTCAGAGAAGCAATCGAGCATTTGTGATGAAAGCTCTAATAATAAAGTCCTAGAAATTAACTCGGTGTCAGATTCCTCCCATGATGTTGGTCATGTTGATACATTCAAAGCCTTCTTTCCTGTTAGAGACGAGATAGTTACTGAAGGTACCATGTTCAACTTCAAAGTACATGCTTAAGTTGTAGATGCTATGATAAACTTTGTGGTGTAAGCATGTTCATTCTTATTTTTTCATTTATGATTATTCATTTCTTAACTTTTATGCAGGTAATGTAGAATCTAAAAAAGAGAAAAATGATTTGGATTCATCTTTGGATCCAAATGGCTTCACCACAGGAGAGGACCAAAATATGGACATCTCAGAAATTCGTGATGGTGCAGGATGTTCTGAATGTTTGAATCAGGTAATGTCACTTACTGCATTATATTTTTACCTAAATAATTGATTCAGGCATAAGTTTTATGATGCTAGAAAATAATCACAGTTATTTAATGGCTCCCAAAGATTTCTTCCAAAACCCCTATATCTGTAAGATTTTATCTGAAGTCTAAACTATCATTTGATTCTTCTGCAGGACATAACTGAAGAGAATGAACCATCATCCCTACCATCATCTCCTAACTCTTCCATCACTAAGAAAACTGAAGAGCTAGAAAGTGGCACGGATGTATCTGGACGACCAAGTCCTGTATCTGTTCTTGATACATCATTCTCAGATGATGACTTTGGCCCTGGGCACTCCAGATGTCAACCTGGTAAGCTTCCCTTCACTAGAGCCTTGAGGGGAATCTCTAGCTATGTTCTTAAAAGTTAAAAATTTAAAGCATATTTTATAAACAAAACTAGCAACTTTTTGTTGCAGTTGTTCTATTGTCTCTAAAAGTAGAAATAACAACAGCATGCTGGTTAGTGGGGTTCTGTATATCATTATCCAGAAATTGATCTAGAAATAGTTTCGGTCTTGGATATTTGTTTGGTTTCATATTTGTGTTGCTTTTATTCCCTTCAAATCAACAAAGTTGGAACCGTTTTTGAGAGATCAACTAACTTTTTTTATTTCTCATGTTTCTTTTAATTATTCAGTTATATTACCAGTACAACCTCTACAAATTCAATTCGAAGAACACGACTCTTCACCGGAAGAACAATTGGACAGAGGAAATTATTGTCTTGAAGAAAATGATTTGATATATGACTACATCAAAGCTGTCTTGCATGCCTCTGGTTTGACTAGAGATCAAATGTTGATGAAATGCCTTTCCTCAGACAAGATACTAGATCCTTCCTTGTTTGATCAGGTAGAGTTCTTCTCAAACCTGCTTTGCCATGATCAGAAGCTGCTATTTGACTCCATCAATGAAGTTCTCATGGACGTTTGTCAGCATTACTTTGGGGTCTCACCTTGGGTTTCATTTGTAAATCCTAGCATGAGGCCATCTCCAAGTATGAAAAGGCTTATTTTTAAGGTCTGGGAAGGAGTGTGCTGGCACATGCTTCCCTTGCCCCTGCCACGCACTTTAGAGCAAATTGTAAGGAAAGACATGGCAAGAAGGGGAACATGGATGGACCTTGGACTTGACGCTGAAACGATTGGTTTTGACATGGGTGAGACCATTCTCACTGAGCTGATGGAAGACACAATTTTGAGCCTTGCGTGTGAAAGTCCAGAAAGTGAATGTTCAATGCTTCAATTTGAGTTGAAGGACAATAAGAACAACATTCACTTGTAAATGACAACTTGGTGCCGTTTGCTAATGCAAATTGTTAAGGGAATTCCTGTGCAAGGTGGAAGGGAAGTAAAGAGGGGATGAAAATTGACCATGAAGAGTTCTTGAGAGTTATAGACTTCTTTAAAGCATGCTTGGACTTTGGTACATTTCTTTTCAACCTAACTGACTACTATGATATTCGGAAAGTAGTATAATGTGAACGAGATACTCAAATAAGGAAACATGATGTCACAAGATTAAAATGGGGGAGCCAGTTGCAATTGCTTGCCAAAGTGAGAAATTAGGCTTGTTTACAGTGACAAACGGACAAAGTAACAGTTCTACTCAGTGTGCGACTCACTTCACCTGGTGAAGGTCAAAGGTGTTTGATTGTAGATTTTGTAAAGTTTGTTTTGCTGATCCCATTAGATGGTGTGTTATAATTTTGTTTGTATGATCCTTTGTATATTTGCTTTTTGGTTAACCTATTGATTTCACAAAGTTTGGAAATAATGGAATGTAAACTCGGCTTTTTTTGTGGTTTCAGAGGGAAAAATTGAGCAAAAATATGAATGACATTGTGACAAGATAGAAACTTGAAGGTTGCGCATTTGAATTATTGCTGCTCTTGCTTGTTCTTTTCCTCATTGATAACTTACTTTCTAAAGTTGTCCAAAATCAATGACATCTAAAATGTTTCGTATAGTTTAACTGATATTTCGTCTTTAAATTAATTAGAGAAAAGTTTGAATATTGATGTCAACTTGTCAAGTATAGTTTTATTAATTATGAAGTTCAGGTGTAGTGTTTTACATATTTTAGAAGTATATCTGATCCAAAATGTTTTCAGAATTGCAAATTGAATTTTTAATTATTTACATTCCAAATATATATTATAGATTAAGGCCGCTTTGTTAATGCCTCGAGTTTAGATCGACAAATAGTTGACATTTTACAAACGTGTTCTTATAATTGCCAAATTTAATTGCCGATCAAAATGACAAATCCATAAAGAACAAAGCTTAGTTAGACTTGAGAAACAAGTTATATATGCTAAATACAAATAGAAGCTTCATTATTTGAAAAGTAAAATAGTAGTTTTGCACTATATTTTATTCAGTTAATAACTTAATATAAAATTGCAACGAGTCAATATGTAATTAGCTAAGTCACGACAACTTTTGTAAACCAACACAAATATACAATTATTTTATGTTAAAAAAGGTGTCAACATTTAATTAGTAAATTCACAATACAATGCGCAAAGAACTGGACGTAGGAATGATTCCATAACCTAAGTTACCGATGGACACAAATTTTATATGCCAATAAGTTAAATTAAATATCATACAACATTAAGGATAAGCAACTTAAGCATACAACAAACCAGTAATGTGTCCCCTAAAAAGAGACCAAATTTTGGTTAAAAATATTATCAATTACACGTAAAAGCATATATTCTCAAAAGTTAACATGTCAAATAAAATTAAACATATATATTAAACTACATACCATTTCCCTTTGAATCACTTCATTTATTTTTCTTGTTACAATTAAGATCTTTAACACCAGAAGAGGGAAGTGGGAGAAACAGTAAAAAAGTGGGGGACTAAGACCTAAGTTTTATCCTTTATCAAATACTAGTAATTCCTAAGGTAAAGTTAGATAGCAATAGGGTAGACCAAAAACTAGTAAAATTATCTACTTTTCTCAAGTACATAACCACGTTCCATGAAATACCTAATGATTTTTAATTAAAAAATGTGTTAAACTTGTTGAAGCCAAAACTGTCAGCTTGGCAAATGTATAATGTGTGATAATTTACATCCTTACAGTGAAAATAACTCATTAATAAAATGATAAAAAAGTAGCTCATTAATAAATGTCACTTTTGCTTCTTATTTCGCAACATAGATGAGGTCAAAGGAATTGGTGCCTTCCTCTTACTAGCAAATGCATTAGTTCTACTATCTAAATCTTCACTGTCTTCATCGTCATCTAAAGCATCTCTTGCAATTGTGGCAGACTCTTTAGCAATATTAGCTGCTTTTCTTTTTTCAGCATTCATTTTGGCATACAATTTCTTTTCCACAGGGTCATCTGAAGCCCCAGCTTTTGAATGCCGTGAAACCTTTGCACCGAGACCAAGCCTACAAAGTACAAAATAAGCAATAATTATCATGGCAAACAAATAACTGCATCATATAGAATTGCTAAAGACAAATTAACAAATTAATGGTGGCAGATATACTAACCCAGAAGGTCGACCCTGTAAATCTGCATTTGTTCTATCATCATCTGCCTCTTCACTCATATTATTCAACCATTGCTGGGCCTGCCAATCGGAATGGTTGAAATTTAAGTATTGGCAGCACCAAATTAACAATGTTTTGATATAATGAATCCTTCAAAAAGATGGAAATTACTACGTAATAAGTTCTAGATTTTAACCAAACTACTTTATTCATTAGTCACTGCAAAGTGCAATGAAAACTTAATCTGTATGAAGTATGAACACATCAATACCACATAAGTTAATTTACCATCCACTTGACAACCACAAAATTTATAAATCATATTCTCAACACATAGCAATAATGTTTAAAAAAATATTTACCAATTTCAATGCCTTGTCCAGCTTAACGATTTGGGCAGCACCAGTTTTCTTTGATGTTTCCGTGACACTCATTTCAAGCTCCCTGTGCCTTTATATTGAAGAGAATTATTAATATACACTCATACCCACTATAACATCAAATCAAAAGCCAAACAACAATTGCAAAAATCCACAATCAAATTTAATGTAAGAAAAATAAAAACAGATCAATTAGAACTCTGAAGCACGAACCAACACTACCAGGGTTTTCGAGAATAAAATTAAGACTACTATTCCGTGGTTCCCCAACTTCGGAAATGCACGCGAGCTAATTACGGAGCTTAAAATTAGGGATAGTCCAGCACTAGAGAAACTAGGGTTTTTAATTGAGAATTCTGCAAAGCAGAACAAAAGAGGTTAAAAAAAAAATAATAGCAGAAGAATTAAGTTACTCCAAGACTAAATCACATTCTATCCTCACCCCAATCTAACAATTCTAATAAATAACTCATCTATAAATGTTAGATTGAAAAAAAAAAAAGCTTGAAGATTTTTTTTTTTGGTTTTTTTCTGAAACATGAAGATGAAATTTACTCTTGAATGAATAATAATAATAATAATAATAATAATAATAATAATACAGGAATTGCAGGATAATGAAGATTAATGAAAAGGGTTTAGTTACAGAGGCATACCTGAGAAAAAAATTTAGGAAATTTGATGAGAAATGTGAGAAAGTAAGAGAGAGAAAAAAAGAAGAAGTGATGAACCCTTGTTATGTTCAGTGAGGTAGTGCGTCAGAGAGAGAGGGGTTAAACGCATTTTTTTTTGTTTTTTTTTTAAAATTGGGCCTGAGACCCGACCCACAGGCCCAAGAACGCGACCCGATAACCCGCGAAGATGATTACCCTACTCGTAACAAACACGCCGCTCCTCCCGTTGACGATGATGATGATGATGATCTTGTTCCGCGACGACGATCCAGAGGCACAATCGTGATCGCTAGGGTTTCGCTTCTTCATAACACAGATCGCTCCTTCAATGGTATTTGCATTATGCTGCTTGTAATTGGGGGAAATGCAAAGGTATCATGCTGGTAGCTGCACTAGTGCAGTTAATAACAGTGGGCCATCCATTGGAAGAACCGATTCTTCTTCATCTTCTTCAGCTAACTTTCCTCTCACTTCCAGGTAACTAACTAACCTACTTTTCCTCTCCTCAATTTCTTGTTACCTATTATGTTGCGCTGCTGATTCATCCTCATTTACTTCTTTTCAATTAGGTTAAGTATCTGTTATTAGCAAAACTGGTGTATGCAGTGTTCGAAACTAGTATCTGTTTCTTTGATTATGCGTAATGCTTTATGTTTTAAACCTATTTTTATTTTCTATCCTAATATAATACTTCGAAACACTAGAGATTGTGTAGGAATTGTTCAATTGTTTGTGTTGACTAAATAAGTGAAGTAGATGTTATAGTGCTTATGCAGGCGGGGAATTTAGTTTCTTTTCTTTTAACTGAAAATTTGGCAAATGTTTGTTGAACTGATTGTCCGATTATTAGGGACCTCTCTGAATCTATGAGCCTAACTTTCGAAATGTATTGAGGTTGGGAACACGAAGTTACTGTCATCACTTAAGTTACTTGCTCGCTCCTTTGTGAGAAAAAAACGCAGAAATGGCCACTCGCTGGTTACGCACGTAACTGTAATATCTGATTGTATTTTCGGCTGAGATTGGAAATACATGAAGTAGTGTTTGAACTTTGAAATTAGGAGTAGTAATCATGTAATTTTCATATAAAATTAGAGAATGATAGCAGTTAATCTGCAGAAGTTGGTATCGTCGGTGTTTTCTTTTACTGATGTTTTTCTATTAAATAATCTAAACTTTTTATGATTTCTCCGGTCTTTTTTATAAGAAACAAGTAGTAGTGTAAAATACACTACTACTTGTTTCTTATAAAAAGGACCAGATATTAGCTTGAATTCTTTTTTTAATATTCAATATGTCCATGCATAATAGTTATTAATTTCTCATTGATAAATGACTATATTTGTGGAGGATGATCATAATTTAATAGAAAAATACTTTTAATCATAACAAAACCATAGTTACATGTCTTTCTATTATCCATCAGATTATATTCTCTCCCCAGAGAAAATTTCATAATAAATACATATTTTCCCCCAACTCAAATTATAATGCAAGAGAAGTTATTAGTCCTATTCAAAAGAAATATTGGGTCTACATTATTGTCTACTATTTACGACAGCTTTAAAGATACAGAGGAAAAAATGGAGTCATTTATAATTTTAGTCCTTTTTTCTGTACGATACTTCATAATAAATTAGTTATTTGATGCTGTTAATCACTTTAAACACACTGATTTTATTTTTGCAGGCGACAACCACCATTAACCCCATTCAAGTTGAAGTGTGACAAAGAACCTCTGAACTCTAGGTAGTTCATGCTTGTAATAGAACTTGTTTTCAAATTATTTCTCACTTTTGTTAGTTCATGAATAACAAACATTCCAAGATTTTAAGAGTAAAATTTGCATGTACAGTGTTAATTTAATATCCAAAAAGATTGTTGATCTACTGTCTTGATGCCCTTTATCATCATCAGTATCTGTTTTTGTTAGTTGTTATTTACTGGCATTAGGATTGCAATTGTTAAATCCTGCTTGTAATTACTTTTAGTTTTAGCTTTATCTTTACTTATTGTCTAGTTGTATAAATTTTAAATTTCACTATTTGATCTCAGGCTTGGCCCCCCAGACTATAACCCCCAAACACCAAATTGTCCTGAAGAGACTCTTACCAGAGAATATTTGCAATCTGGATATAGGGACACAGTTGAGGGGCTTGAGGTACATTTTTTTTTTTAAACTTCAGTATTAATTTCAAATGGATAATGTTAAGTAGCTATTTAGCTATGAATATTTGAGTTCTAGACATAGCTATTAGAATCTTATGATCACCAGTTTGAATCCTAAGATTTGATATGATTCAGCTACCTACTGATTCATATTATAAGATGAATCTCAACTTATGCTTTGTAAAACTGACTGTTTGTTGTTTTCATAACATGTATTACCTTTTTTGTCTTCAGGAATCTAGAGAAATTTCTCTCACCCAGGTTCCAACTTTTAACAAGACAGTTGTCCTTAGTTGCAAAGAGGTGACTCCCTGGTCTTTGTGATTGTGAGATATATGCCCTGTTGTTTCTATAACTATGAGTATGTTTGGCATGTCAAATAAGCTAGTTTTAAGTTTATTTGACTAGCTTATAATATTTGGCCAAATTAAGGTGTTTGATAAACGAGCTTATTTCGCTTCTTGAATTTAATAGTTTATAATGTATAAGCTACTTCAACTAATTCATCCTAGTATTCTAGTTACATTACATTTGTCTTGGCACAAACACTATAAGGAAAACAAATTTCTTCAAGATGAATTACTAATAGGAGAGGAAAAAAAACTATTGGCTTTGAGAACAGCAACAAAAACAACCAAGTTAAGGAGAGATATCAATCCTAATTTCCACTCAGCAAGCTAGGAACTTGAATCTTATTGTAGTTTAGACAATCATACATATATACATACATATGTGCGTACATGTGTGTGTATGAATATATCTAAATTGGTATGACAATCCATTACATGGGATACTTAGTTGTAATGCATTATGATTCACTGATAATGGTATTTTGAAACATTCCAATTAGAGAAATGGCAACACAAATTAGAGAAAGTGAGTAAAGATGTTCACAAGGAGATTACCTTGCTGGTTCTCTTGTTAATGAATCTGATGAAACGTAATTGTTTGAAATAGATTCTCTTGGTAGTTGGTCAGGTATGAATCGCATTGCTGCAGGATGACTCTTGGCAGTCATAATTGAAAGTTCTCGTACTGCAGAAAGCTGTTTGTCATGTTATCACTTAAAAATGTATAACAATGCAGTCTTTATTGAAGAAATTTCAAAAAAAGAAAAAGAAAAAGGAACATAACAAGCAAAGTACTATTTAAGACAAAAAGAGTTAGAAAAACTTTTTGAAAGTATGCTTTTACCTGTAAATCTGGATTTCCTGAAGGAGTTAATTCACCGAATAATTTCACATGGAATATGTGGACATCAAACGGTCTATATGTAAGCAGCATATAATCTTGGTATACATCCATCACCATTGGTTTAGCAAACAATGGTTTTCGACAGAGTAATGAACTTTGATCAAGGTGATATCTAGGGTAAAAGAGCAATTCATACCTGATATAAAATAAGGACACCTAAGAGACCATGTATGTAGAACAAAATGGTATTGTATAATGCTACAGAAAGTCAGAAAATATAACTTTTTATGAGACATAAATTTCTTTTTTTGTATGTCTATTAGAGTTAGGCTTTTCCATGCATGTACATTGTTAAACACCACTTGGTTATGAACGAAAATTTTGACAAACACTAAGATTTATAAGTATCAACAGCATGTAACATGTAAGTGAAGAAAAAAAAAGCATCTCACGTGTTGGATGAATCAACATAGTTGCAGACAACAACAATCTTCCCCAGCCATAACAAACCTTTACACTGAATCTTTTGCTCCTGTGTAACATCTCCAAATACTCTCCATCTCTTCATTCGTATATCATATAATATCAAACCATGAAGACCAGCAACAGCTAAGTACATCCCATCCTGGCTAGCTGCCACATGTTGAACAGGCCAGTTTTGGGAAATATAAGAAACCTGCAAAAACTTTTATACTTTAGAAGGGATATCCATTTAGTGAAAATTACATGCTCATAGATTGACAATCAAACACGTAACTGGAAGCTTAAGATGTAGCATTTTTAGTTCATCAGTCTCTTCTGACTGCACAATGAGTAAACGGTCTTCCCCATAAATCACTTGCCGGATGTATGTAGTGCCTGAAACACCTCTGCTAAGACAGCATTTCCCAAATGAGAACGATAGAATTCTCTCTGAAGACCCAGCCTCAATAGCATAAAGTCTATATCCATATTCATCCCACTGCATCAGTGAGGTACCACCCATCAATGGTTCATACTTACAATCATGGTTAGGCTTAGCAATTGGAGAAGACATGGAACTTAAACCTATTTGTCGGACTGTTGACATCAGGCGACACCCAGAAACAGACCAAACCGTAAGACCCCTTAGTTTCCACCCAACTGCAAAACGTCAGTTACAGGTGATTGCCTATAACAAGTCTTATGTGTTCTTGGAAATTGAACTGAACGCTTTATATCTTTTGCCAATTTCAATCCTTTAGACTTCAGGTTTTGAATTTTCACACTTCTGCTCCTTGCAGGAAAAGCAATTGCTTGAGATTTGGCAGCTGCTATTGCCTATTGTATATGGCTTTTTAGAAAGTGTTGTTCTATCTCAAACATATGTTCGCACACTTGCTGGTGTAGCTCTTCGTATTATCCGTGATCCTGCTCCTGGTGGATCAGATCTAGTAGACAATTCCCGGAGGGCTTATACAACGTCTGCTCTGATTGAGATGCTCCGGTATTTAATACTTGCGGCTCCAGATACTTTTGTTGCTTTGGATTTCTTTCCTTTGCCATCTTCTGTAGTTTCACATACACTAAATGATGGGAATTTGGTACTTAAGGCAACTGAAGCTGCAGGAAAGATAAAAAATAGTTCAGAAGACGTGTGTTTATTTAGAAGTAAAGGGTTTGATGCACAATACCAATCATTGGCATTTGATCATGTTATTTCGTGCATTCAAGAATGTGTAGAAGATCTCACAAAGGCTGTAAGCCCAGGCTATCCTGGTCAATATCTGGCTAAAGCTGCACAAGCCTTGGATAAATCCCTTGTACTTGGTGATATACATGCTGCCTACAAATTTCTTTTTGAAGACCTTTGTGATGAAACTGCATCTGAAGTTTGGGTTGCAAAAGTCAGCCATTGCTTAAGGTTATCACTGAAGTGGTTTTTGACTGTAAATACATCACTTATTTGTTCAGTGTTTTTCTTGTGTGAGTGGGCAACATGTGATTTCAGGGATTTTCGGACTGCTCCTCCTTGTGATGTAAAGTTCACAGGCAGGAAAGATCTTTCCCAAGTGCAAATAGCAATTAGACTTTTAAAGATTAAGCTGAGGGATATGCAGATTTCACCAAGACAAAAGAGTGGAAGCACTCGTGGTCATGGAGTCAGTTATTTAGCAAAATGTTCAAGTCAGCAGAGTAATCGGAATTTTGTGGACAATGTATCCAAAATAAAATCTGGTTCAAGAAATATGGAACAGAATATCCGTTCTTCGGCTATATTTGAAAGCCCAGGTCCTCTACATGATATTATAGTTTGTTGGATTGATCAACATATGGTGCATAAAGGGGAAGGCCTCAAACGCCTACATCTATTTATAGTGGAACTCATACGGGCAGGCATATTTTATCCACTGGCATATGTACGCCAGCTTATAGTGAGTGGGATCATGGATACAAATGTAAATATGGTTGACTTGGAGAGACAGAAGAGACATTGCCGAATCCTGAAGCAGCTTCCTGGGAAGTTTGTGCGTGATGCTTTGGTAGAATCAGGGATTAGTGAAGGGACACGGCTCACTGAAGCATTACAAGTTTACTTGAATGAACGCCGCCTCATACTCCGTGGTTCCTTATGGGAGAATCACGGCAATGTCAGTAATGCAAATATATGTTCTCTCAAACAAAAAAACTGTACATCTTCAACAAAAGACAGAGCTTCTATGGTGTCAATTGATCAATGGAAAAGTGTTATTTCTAGTAAAATATCCTCTAAAAATGCAAAGGATGACAATAATGTTGAAGAACTGAAGACATTCATCTCAACACTGTTACAGATACCAAAAAGTTTTTCTAATTTGAACACTACAGGTTTGGATGAATCTCAAGGCAGTGGCAGAAAACCTATTGGGTCTCAAAGCAAGGTTGATGTAGTGGAGGCTACACCTGGGTGTGAAGAATGTAGAAAAGCAAAGAGACAAAAATTGAGCGAGGAAAGAAGTCCATTTGTTCAAGCTCCTTCTCCAGTTTTGTCTGATGATGAAGATACATGGTGGGTGAAGAAGGGGCTAAAATCCTTGGAGCCTCTCAAAGTTGATCAACCACTTAAGCCTACCAAGCAGGTTACTAAGAATCGGCAAAAGACTGTGCGGAAAACCCAGAGTCTTGCTCAACTGGCAGCTTCTAGAATTGAAGGTAGCCAAGGGGCATCAACAAGTCATGTATGTGACAATAAGGTTAGCTGTCCTCACCATAGAACTGCTATGGATGTAGATACAGCAAGGTCTGTTGATGGAATTCGATCAACTCACTGTGAGGACATTGTTTCAATTGGAAGGGCACTAAAACATCTGCGCTTTGCTGAGAGAAAGGAAATATCACTTTGGCTGATGACTGTAGTTAGGCAGCTTATTGAAGAGAATGAAAAAAATGTTGGTAAAGTTAACCAATTTGGCAGGCCTTTTGCCACTGTGGATGATAAAAGTTCAATTAGGTGGAAACTTGGTGAGGATGAAGTTTCTGCTTTACTTTATCTGATGGATGTCTCAGATGATTTAGTACCCGCTGTCAAATTCCTCTTATGGTTGCTTCCAAAGGCTTATAGTAGCCCTAATTCTACAATTCATAGTGGAAGAAATGTTTTAATGCTGCCAAGGAATGTGGAGAACCAAGCTTGTGATGTTGGCGAGGCTTTTCTATTATCATCGCTGAGAAGGTTCGAACTTTGTACTCAACTTAGTTTTTGCATTTTTTTGGATCTATTTGCCACAATTTGTTATTTTGTTCCTTTTATCAGTTTATGTGCTCTTCCTAGTTCCTCTCCTGACATTCCCTTCTAATCCTTGTGTTGTTCGCTGTGTTTAGTTACTGTATAAATTTTGAATATGTGATATACCATACATTTTACTTCAAATTTTTAGTTTTGTTTTTTTATTTATTGTTTTAATTTTAACTAGTGCTTGTTAAACCTTTGCATTGTGGTGCTTCTTGTGCTCTTTTTTTTTTTTTTTAATAGGTTTAATTAAGTAAATTTCCTTTGTCATATGAGCTCCCAATTATCCCTTCATTATTTTTTTAATCTAATGAGTATTTTTACTTTTTTGTCTTTATGCTAACATAGGACCTTTATTTTGTTTTTTATAATGGATGTTTAAGTAAGATATTGATTTTGTTTAGTCTGTCTGTCTTGTCTTCGTATTTGATGCAGATATGAGAACATTCTTGCTACAGCAGATCTTATTCCTGAAGCTCTGTCTTCTATAATGCATCGTGCTGCAGCTATTATAGCATCTAATGGGAGGGTTTCAGGCTCAGTTGCCCTAGCTTTTGCCCGCTATTTATTAAAAAAATATGGCAATGTTGTCAGTGTCGTTGAGTGGGAGAGAAATTTTAAGAATACATGTGACAAGAGACTTGCTTCTGAACTAGAGTCTGGGCGATTAGTTGATGGAGAGTTAGGGCTTCCACTTGGTATTCCTGATGGCGT